AATGGGTTGGAATGGATGGCCTTTTCAACACTGTTAGTTGCTGGTCATCATGAGGCCCAACTGTTATCATGGGGCCCATGTTGTCCACCACTCCTACACGTTCTTCCTCTAGTAGGAGCCCTATGCCTTGACGGAGCCGCGCTGCCCGATGGAGGAGCACCTCCAGGGCAATTGGAGCTCGCCCACCATGGCGGCGCAGGGCTAGCTCCTCCAGTCCTCGCCAGCGCTGCCAACATAGAAGTGACTGTGTCCATCTGTGTCGTTAAACAATTTTGAGATTTGGAGGTACCAGATGAACCCACATCTGGGAGGTATATTCCTCTATGGGTTCAACCCAACCCACCCAGCCCTTCAACCAAACAGCTCTAAAAATGGGTCCAACTCATTCGAACCTTCTTCAACCTCCTAACCAAACACACGCTTAGTGATCGATGAGGTCAGCAGGGTCATAGCTCAGAAGAGTATATCCCTTGGTGTATGATAATGGATTGCTATTTGATAAAGAGGAGCACGTAGGAAACTAGAGTTGTGGTTTCATTCACTAGACTTAGTAGAACTAAACCTGAGTACATGAGGTGAGTGTGTGACTGCTGACCTACTAGACATGATAAAGGAGATGTTAATTTGGAGGATCATGTAGTGCCTAAGAAGAATATCTTTCAATATATATTTGGATTCAGTTATATCTAGAGACTGAGATATCTATGAAGATATTGGCCATGTTATTAATTGGAACCAATGTTTTAAATCATAGTCTAAGATATTTAGCAGTAATCTCTTTTAAAAGCTACAAAAAAAAATTATAGCGGGATATAGTGAAAGCTATTTCATTTAGCGGTTTTATAGAAAACATGAAAATTTTTAATTAATTATACATAACAAAATTTATGAACATAAATACTTAAATAAATCTACAAGCTCTAGGAGAACATGTCTCCATATCCATTACTTAACATTCACCATATCAATCAACATACTCATTGTTGTGATTAACATTCATAATCTTCCAATATTCATGATCAATGGTTCAATGATTATTCATGGTTTGTTATATATTAATATCAAGTAAAGAACCTAACATAAACATAGATTATAGTTCTTATGACTAAAGGAATAAATATTTGCCTCTATCAAGATTAGCGATGCAAAAATTATTTTTATGCTAAGACAAATAAATAGGGTTGTTTGGTGAACCTAAAGTGTCATTAGTAGCAATAGCGGAACAATTGGCAATATCGTAGTAGTAGATCCAATGAAAAAAGCTATCGCTGGGCTATTTAGAACCCTGAGTGGAATAGATGAAATGTCAGCTTCTAAAGTATTTCATAGATGGTGAGAGATACCTCAATCATGTGTTATCCTTTAGACGCATCAACCATAAACGTGGATGTCTCCCTTCATGTAACCCTCACGGCCTATTTGGTTTGCAGATGGAATGGTACGCCGGACGATCCGAACCTCTATCCGAGCCTATGAGGCCGTTTGGTTAGCGCTTACGGGTTCACATCGCCTGTCATCTGTAGCAGGTCAATCTGTGGAACGAGGTCATCCAGCCAAAACCATCGAACCACCTCATGCCTCATGGACCCATGCGGAATGAAATCGTTCGTCTAACCAAACACGCTGTTAGTGGAATTAGACATAGAAGATGGAGATATGTCTGAGAGGAATAGGCCTTAATCAAGAGGTTACCAATGGGTTAAAAGCATGATTTCATAGGTAGTAATTTCTAAAGGTATATTGAGCTTGTTTGTTTATGGAGAAAGCCCTATGGAGGCACATAGAGACAACTTGTAGGTAGAGCTAACAACAAAACCTAGTGATTGTTAAGCCATTAAGGTTACTACTTAAAGAGAAAAACATATCATGTTCTTTTCACATAATTTGTCAAATGGTTGTGTTTGGGTTGTTGGAGGCGTGAGGCTCAATTTGTACAAATATCTTGTTCTCGAAGTTTTCATTTCATCATCTTTTTTGAGATGAGGTTAAGTAGTGACCAAACCTTTTGTATTCTAGCTTCTCTTTAGAATCACAAATTTAGCAACTACAATATTACTTGATATCATTGCATGAAATTTTACATTGAAGTTTGATATATATTAGATGCATTCAAGTGTTTTGTTACTTAAAGATTACCTAAAAGGTAGATTTGAGAAATAATTTTGATTTGTTACTCCAAGTAAATAATTTGACATGTTGGTTCATATGCAAGTATTTAGTCAAACTAAAATTTGTTTTCAATGCAAACTATATCAAGCTAAAAGATGCAAAGCCACCCATCTATGAACAATCGTTCTATAGTACATTTACTAGTCTCTTGAGGCCAATGTTTAGAGACTAATACTTTAGTCATTGACTAATTGATGATACTTGGCAGTAAACTTGGACATTGACTGGCCAATGTTCCAACTTGAAGCCCTAAACGCAACTGACCAATTAGGCCTTATCATGGAAAGTCCTATCGAATATTGCTACATGCTTGACTAGAAGTCTGTCATGATGTGACCATCTTGTTCTCCACTCTTGAAAGTCAACGTGTTATCTTGCTTTATCTACCATCAGAACATGCATGCCATCTTGCTACATACAACTGTGTGTGTTACCTGGCTCCGCCTTTGTGCTTTGGGGGGAGCAAGTGATTGGTCTGGTTCATAAAAATTTCCCCATGCATTTGAACTAGTGTGAAGCGGATGCATGACTTCATGGATTTGTAGACAATCAAAATCATTGTACTGGCTTTGAGGGGTTCATATGAAAATAATGCACTAGAGTTGCTTGGGCAACTTATTAGGCTATGACTGCATATTAATACAATGTGGAAACAAATTTATTTTAGGTCCCAATTTCTCTATACTATACATTGAACCATGAATCAATATACTTGGTGGCTCAAGTACTGGTCTATAGTTTGGTACAATGTATCCAAGAGAGTTTAAATTATTATCTCCAACGCATGCAAATGGGCACACACATCATCACATTGACTCCTGAAGGATCGCCTCCAACTAACTATGGTTCCAAGATGTGCGAGTGGTCTCTTTACCACATGGTGTACTAGTTTGTGATGTAAAATAAGCTACTACCACTCTTATCTTTTTATGTTGGTGTTCCCTTTGGCATTTATGCGTTCAATGGTAAAAGAAGTACCTCACGTGGATAATCTAAATTTAAGTTGGTGGTTTGCTCTGTGTGGTTTCCTAAACATAAAAGAACTTTAACCATAATCCTTTGCCTTCACTACCAAACCAAAGTTATTTCACTAGTTGATTTTTGGGGGACAATTAGTGATGTCATACTCTATGTTACGAAGTATTTGAAGATGTTTCATTACTACATATATATAAATTGGGAGCACCTTAAGAGTTAAGTTATGTTAATTCATAAGATTTGGAAATGCTTGTGAATAGCTATTTTTTCTCCTTTTGTAATGACCGGTGTGTCCTTAAATCTTCAATGTTTGAATTGAAACATTTTTTCCCATGCTGGCATCGTTTTTTTTTAGAAGCAAAAGATGGCAATTTCTTCATATTACAAGGCCTCACTTCCTAAATAGCTGAAGATAATAGGATAAAATATGCATTGTGACCAACCTTTTTTGAAGTTTGTGAGTTTTACTACATAACTTTTGTGTGGGGACATACAGTATGATGTGGTGACGATCCCACTCAACTGAATTAAATTTCATGGTTTGCACCACACCTCTAAACTAAATAAGTTCTAGTCACTAATTACGCAATGCACAATATGCTTCAACATAAAACCATAATGTCATAAGCAATAATATTTCAAGAGATATATCCATTTCTATGGTTATCCCTTTTTTCTAAGAGGTCAAAGCACCATATTGGTTGGACTTGTTAAGGCATAAAATTGTAGAAACCAAGTTGAAACATAACAAGGCCTTATAATTAATTTACAAGGCAATGCACAATATGCTCTTATATAAAATGGTAATATCTTGTCTAATAAAGTTTCATGATACATAGCCTATAGCCATGAATACAAATCCTATCATGTGTCAGTGCACATTTACTTTCCAATGTTCTGAAAAGATCAAAATTTTCATAGACATTATTTTCTTGTTTGTTGGCCAATCTGGGTTATGTATCCTAGTCTTGATTAGCAACTGTGGACGCAGGCTCTGGCCAAATTTCAAATACTATTCTCTGAGACATAATATCTATCATTTCGCTGAAGTTTATAAATGATAATTTTAATACCAATCTGCTTCTGGTCAACTTTCAAATTCTTTGAAATTTTCAATGACTTTTCTTGCTACTTCATTTATAATCACATCACCCAAACTGCCTTTGTAACTTAGGCTGCAGTATTTCAGTGATTTTTAGTACTTTATGATATGTCTCTGAGAGACTGAGATTGTGCACAATATCAAACCAGTGCAATAGGTAATTGGGCTTGGTTGAGTTCCACTTTGCCCCTTCTTGAGTTATGAACCAACAAACCCTAGAATATACCACTTGGTCTGCAGCTTTATAAGAAATCGGACTGTACGTTACACACACAATTGGATGGGGCAGAGCTGATAAAATAATGCCACAGATTGAGTAAATCTGTAACCTTCACTTAAATGAAACGTTGATGAGTGAGAAGTTTTTTACTATTGCTACTAAATTGGATAATATCCATGTATAAGACCATACTTGTCTAGTAAACTTTATACTCCATGCTTACTAAGAGTTATCTAGATGTAAAGAGCTCCGGTATAAGCCGCAGAAAACACATCATGCATTTTAATGGATAATCTTTGTTTAGAATACTAGCTATGTGATCGAAACATGGAAAAAAGGACGTGAAAATTCTAATTTGAATTTATTGCATCCAAGCTATTTGATGCATTTTGTGATCCATGTTTTAGAATGAGATAAATCCAAGTATTTGAATATGCAAAGATATAGCTAAGAATTTGTGAGTTCACAACAAATCAACTGTATCCTAAATTCTGACATAATTTTAGTAACTTTATTTTTCTCCCTTTTCAGTGTGCAGAAAACAATTGAACGTTATAGAACATACACAAAGGATAATGTCAGCAACAAGACAGTACAGCAGGATATTGAGGTGACATGGTTATATTTCTTGTTAGGCTTCTTATGGTGTCTAATTTCAATTCTTGAATGTCGATTTTATCAAGCGATTTTGTCTATTCTGTGGATCATCCTAAGCTAACTAGCATTAATGAGCCTCTATTTTGATATACTTTTTATTGATGTCCATTATTTCCCAGCTGATGATGCTTCTACTGAAACCTGAAGCATAAAACTATACTGGAGTGAAGCTTTGGCAGGGTACAACTAATGTACAGCTGAATATTTTAAAACAACATGTGATGCAGATATGATAAGACCTTGAATAAACAAGAGTGCAAAAGCCGAATATATTTTTTGAGAATCTTCATTCATTTCAAAACTTTAAAATATGCTGAATGTATTTTTTTAAGGTTTTAATGTGAGTTGTGACCTACAAGGAAGTGCATAGGTATTGGCTGGTTCTGTTGGCATGACCGCTGTAATTCCATCCACCAAGTATTCATCACAGTATAGGTGATATATCATGTGGTAGTTTTAATGTAGTAGTGATACTAAGATTGTCTGGTCCAACTTATATTGCAGCAAGTAAAAGCTGATGCGGAGGGCCTGGCAAAGAAACTCGAAGCACTTGATGCTTATAAAAGGTAATTATTTAGCTATCAAATACTGATGCTATCAAATACTGATATCCTTATGTACCGCCCACGAACTAATTTTCGTTGAGATGCAGGAAACTTTTGGGTGAGAGATTGGAAGAATGCTCCATTGAAGAACTGCACAGTTTGGAAGTCGAACTTGAAAAGAGCCTGCGTTGCACATCAGGGGAAGAAAGGTTAGTTATTTTCTTCTAGTCGTTTTTATACAGTTTATATGTGTTAACAAATGAATTGAAGCTGTATATATATGAGCACGAGCAGCTTACAGCTTTACATTTGATCTTACATGGCAGACAATGCTGCTGGAGGAGCAGGTCAATAAGCTGAAGGAGAAGGTAAGTCAGTTCTTGCCAGCTTCTTGTCCTACAGCGACATAAAACATCAGAATGCACAGTTAGAGTAGTCCTGACTTGTCCTTTTGTTTATTTGCTGCGTCAACATCAAATAGGAGATGAATCTGCGCAAGAGCAACGAAGATTTACGTGAAAAGGTAATGGTGGTGAAACATTTTACAGCCATGGGAAGACGCTGCATGCGGCATGCCAACAACCCAACGACAGTCTTTTGATTATACTGCTTACCTCGACCTCCCGTGATATCTTATGTGCATACAGTGCATGGATTTCTTTTCCCAAATCGCTAGCATACAATTTTTTCAAGATCATGATGCAAGCGTGTGGTATATACTAATCGAAGTCGCGTCTGCAGTGCAAGAAGCAGCTGCCAATGCTGATGATGGCTCCTCCGCCGCCTCCAGCGCCAGCAGTCATCACTGTGGAGGACGATCACCCGGAGCCGAAGGACGACGGGGTGGACGTGGAGACCGAGTTGTTCATAGGATTGCCCGGCAGAGATTACTGCTCAAACAAAGACAAGGCTGCAGTAGAGATCAGGTCAGGCTAGCCAGCAGTGCAGAGGCCCAACCAATGCTAGCTAGCGGAGAATAATCTTAGATCTCTGGTGCGGAGAACTGGAGATGCAAAGCAAAGCCAAACCAAGCCAAGCAATATGA